AAAAAAACCTGTGTATACACCTCGCATAGGATTGTTGGAAACTCTTTGGCAGGTTTATGAGAGGTGTATCACGATGTCTCGAATAAAGTATCAGCTGAAACATAAGGCGGCCTGGTGCAGCACAGAGGGGTTCTATTCTGCTTTCGAACAGACAACCTTCGAAGAACGTACTAACCGGGCTAACCGCGTCAGAACAGTCGAAAGGCCTTGTATAATCGATACATACTTAGTCTATGAACTATTATCTACCATGTGCAACTCCGCAGGTGTGAGGCATGGCCTTTGCGAGTTGAAGGTATACACCGTTTGGAATCTTTTGTTCACTGATACATAAGATGTATACTTCAAGGTCTTCATACGAAGAATCAAAGACGCCATCACGATACCACAAATCTACCATCCGTCATCCAAAGATACCGGCTATAATGGTCTGGTCACAAACACCAAAAAACGGATGTTCATGTAAACAAGCAATATACCTCTCACCCTGCTTTGGTAGGTGCTACCGACACGGTGGTCAAATCAGGGCATGTTTCGACAAAGTGCATGGCGCACGCCGCTGAAGACAACACTGGATCGGCATGTGTCAATCTCACTTCTGACGGTCGATCATGGTCTGCGATGAACCGCGAAGTCAGTGGAGTCGATTCATCGTAAATATGAGGAGTTTGTCCAATGAAGCTGAAGCAGCCGCAATCCGACTGCCTGACACCGCAATGTGTTCTAACATACCAACCACTCCTTAACACAATTTCAAACTTCCTCCTCCTCTAAGCTTATTCAACCGAATCCGGTGCAAACGCGAAGTCCCAGTTGACGATCCTAGCAAAGCGTGACAACTACGATGCAGATGGGTGTATTTTTTGTAGGGGAAGCAAAGATTGTTTCAGTGACTGTCTCCAGTGCCCGACTACGGACCATCGTATGCCAAGTAAAACGATGAAACCAGCGAACAGATAACAACACCGTACGGAAGTGGCATACGTGGCAGGATGATTGATGATTCCATTCAGCTACATTGATGTGTAGTTGATGGATATAAGATATGGACGCCACGAAGACCCCATGTGCTTCCTGAAAATACCGTATAAAGGCATACACGTGAGAGATGATCTAGTTACAAAGGCATGATAATGATGGTTGACATTAAAGCAATCCGTGGAGCGAGCTGAGATTATTGGAATGGATTGAGCGGACTTTATACGGGGGGTTTTCATCTATTTAAAAATAAATTCTGGGAATTGAAAAATGGCCCTTATGAGGGAGTGGTCTTCATAGGGGAGATGACTGTATACTTTGTAGGCAATTCTGTTTCAAAGTTTGAGTATGTACTTCATCCTGCAAGTGAAGTAAACACATTCTGAGAGGCTAAAAAACACTGTACAGGTGTTTCATCAGTGACGAAAGCCATCAGTACGGAATACCTCACGAATTTCGAACTCACATTCATTCGAATGGGAGTTGTGCAAGGGTGTTCAGCTAGGGATGATTAAATGAGTGGCATAAAGTGACTTGATGTTGAGTGTGTTCTCATCCATGTTGTGTCTATATTCGGGATCTTCCAAACCCCTTCTCTCAGATACCAGTCCGAAGCCAGTGTTCTCTGGGCATCCGGGGGCATCAATATCTGTCCCATCACAGAAGTCCCACAAGAAGATCACCAGTGATGCCGACAGGCACTAACTGTTGATCCACTAGACAAAGGTGTGGCGAACCAATGTGGAATCCAAGTGCACATGTACGACGCAGGGCAGCGTCCGCGATAGGTTAGATGGTAGAGGGAGCTGATAAGCGAGAGTTCGTGGGTTCGTGAGTCCTCTCCAAGGATTCCTTCTCTTCGTTTGCATCATGTGTACTTAAATCCACATTCAAGATCGGTGGTGCCACCGGGAAATGTGTAGGACATTATCCTGTTTAAGAGAAACTCGGCCCAACCGTTGATCAACCACTCGTATCTATAGGGTTTAACTAGTATCCAAGGTGTGAAATACACTTTGCGTTTTGGTCCTATCAAGGATGAAAAAGCTGTCGTGTTTCGCGGACACAACATGCCGTCGATGATGATGATGATGACATACAAAAAATAAAACAGCCTGATCGAGACAGATTTAACTAACTTGAGTGTCTTGAGAGAACAACGTGTGCGGAAATCGATATGTACAACCAAACCGCACAAGTCATCAAGGCATCACCGAAATTCCAAAACCGAACGGGCAACATTCTTTATAGTTGTTTCACATTTACCAGAGGGACTTCAAACTCAAAAATAACCTTGAGACGCTCACACTTCTAAAAACAGTACACTGGTTGTTACTCAGGTAGAGAGTATTCTGATTTTGCTTTATCGTGTGACCTCATTTTTGTCGCTTCGTCACCAAGGTACACTCGTGGACGATTACAAAAGGTTTGTTTTACAGATGAAAACCAAACAGCTACGAAACACAAAAAAACTTCATACCTCCAACAGCTTGAGTTTGTACATGCGCTTCGCAACTCGAATACAGCGACGGCGCGCTTCATTTGTTGAACGAACTGGAACTTCCATACAGGGAGTACTGATATGGGGGGAACCAGACATCAGAATCTCCCGAAGCCGCGGGATCCCCAAGGTCACGTTCATCTCTCCGCGACCAGCAAAGTGAAACGTGTTCAGTGTCATTTGTGTGGACGGTTCACCGACTGACTGGGCTGCTAGCAAGCCGACAGGCTCACCTGGTGGTACTTGAGCGCTAATCAACTTAGCAAGACATAATTCACGCAGGGCCGATGCCACCACGCACGGTGGGTCGGGGAGATCAGCATTCAAAAGTTCCATTGATGATAGCTGCTTCTGTTGTTTGACAGTCTCAGCAAAAGAACGTTCAGCTCGACGGGCTTTTCGAAACAACTTGGCAATCTTGTGCTCCGATGGTGACTTCATCAGCAGCTGAGGACAGGGAGGTTGAAGATTAAAGCACAGTTGAGCGTATACGCAAATCGGCTCTGTTCTGCTGAGTTCGTCAGTACATGGTGGATGGCGCATCGGATAAGAGAAGCTTTTAAAGGTCAATACTGGTACTAAAACTAACTTATGACTGCGGTACGGGCGACCCTCGTCAGTCCCCCCTAAGCTTCAGCGCAATACGACACTTCTTCCACTATGATACTGCACCAATGTTCCGAGGGGTCACTCAATGGTGCTCTGTTAAGTGCCTAATGATTATCCCAACCATATTCCGCTAAAAAGTCGTTGTTATTAAAATGATAACATGACACACAGATACTGATTAGAATGAGGAATGAAGTAACTTCAGATCTATCGGTCGGTCAGTGACCCCGACACTACCAGGTCAAGCGCGTCCGCATTGCCCACAACCCCACGGTTCCACTGAGGAAAACGGGCCCGTTCCAAATACTTTGTTTGTTTATCTGCTTCTTCAATCTGCGTAAACATTCTTCAGGCATCTCGGTCAAGCATCATGCCCTCCAAAGATATAAAACGTAGGGTGTATTTTTTTCTCGCAAAGCAAGCAGTGGCACGGCTACGTTCAGGGTAGCACTTCTGCATCGCTCGAATGTAACTGTACCATATAAGGCTGTGGTTTCCAGTGCTCATTGTGGTCCATTTTATATATGGCTGTTAACTTGCACATCCATAGTCCAATTTCACTTGGAAATGAATGCAAAAGTCCTTATCAAGGGTAGTCGCTACCGTGGACTGGAGCTAAGTGAAAATTCAAACATCTTAATAATCCTGGTATCGTCCGTTCGACGATCAGGTTCGTTCCCGCCATCACTAATGCAGATGACGAATTGTTCTTCTGGAGATACTATGCTGAGTACAATGGTTTATCTAGCCTTGTGCTTAAAAACCGTTATAGATTCTACTTGGGCACAACATCAACAAGGAAAAAAGACAAAACGTGGAAACACCGGAATCACAGGACAGGTGGGACGGCATTTCAACCAACCGCACCGCGTTTCTTTCAGGTTATTAAAACGGGTTTTGTAATTCAACCAGGAAAAAGCTCAGCAAAAGTTCACACTCACCATCTGACGTTCCGTTCCCACCTGGTCCGCAATTTGCTGCAATGGCCGTGGCAATGCATTCGGTCCAAGCAGGTGCTGATGTCCTATGGAGTGGTTCAATCCGTTTGACGAATACCAGCGCATACTCAAAAGTGCAGCGTTGTCGGCAAACAGATGTAGTCCAGCTGATTGCAAAAAACTTGCCTGACAAACGTCTACACCATCGTCACCATAGTGAAATTGGATAACGTTATTTCCGGAATCACGCACCGTACCATCATACTGTATGCTCAGATCCTAAAAGATGAGATGAGGAGACGAATGGCGCGTCGTTAGATATGGTATCTGCGGCATTCGGGTACTCAATAGATTAGGTTGACCGTTGAACTAGAAACAGGGTGTAGCGGTGAAGCTTAACATAACCAGCTCGGTTTTTCAGCTGTAAACCGTATCGTAAGGTGAGTCGATTCCAGTTGGTGCAGTTGTATTTCTTGAAAAGAGTGAGTGGGTGGGTAAAGCTCTCAGGACAACGGCATCAACGGTCCCTTGACGTTTTTGTTCAAATTTTTCGGTAGAGCGTGAATTTACCGACCGAAAGTTCCGTGTCGTCGTTAGATATGGTATCTGCGGCATTCGGGTACTCAATAGATTAGGTTGACCGTTGAACTAGAAACAGGGTGTAGCGGTGAAGCTTAACATAACCAGCTCGGTTTTTCAGCTGTAAACCGTATCGTAAGGTGAGTCGATTCCAGTTGGTGCAGTTGTATTTCTTGAAAAGAGTGAGTGGGTGGGTAAAGCTCTCAGGACAACGGCATCAACGGTCCCTTGACGTTTTTGTTCAAATTTTTCGGTAGAGCGTGAATTTACCGACCGAAAGTTCCGTGTCCTTTGTTTGTTTAGGCTTGGGCAACCTGAGGGTATCCCAGCCCTCGTGTTTCTTCCGGGTGGAATGGAAGCTAGACACCCAAAGGATGTTACAGCCGAACGATTTCTCGGTAGGATGGAGATCGAAATAACTTCACATTGAAGGCATTTTATGAGAGTCGTCGGCTGGACTACTAGGTTGACTATCAATATTGTACCAGGGCATCCTTTAGGGTAGTTACAAAAAGGAGTGCGTTTACCGATTATACGTCTCGTAATCCGCTGCCGAGTCAATGACTGAACATGTCTATTTTGTTTTGACCTGTAAGTAACCCTCACAAGTAGATCTCCCGGGTACACGATACCGGTGGCCTGAGCTGAGGAATGCAACTGGCCACTCCAGAAGGCATGGGTCGTCGGTTCCGAAGAGATTCGACCCTACACGTCCATTAGCTTGCGAATTCGATGCATATAGGATAACAGCATTCGCACAGTGTTCTCCCACAGTTACTGGGGGCACCTTGGTAGGACTTTTTACTCTCAATTAACGCTCCACATGCATAGGCACTGAAGTTTCACCCAATGAGGGACTAGCGTCATCAGATGAGCGGGGCGCACTGTCGGTTAGACGAGAACTGAGCATGGAAAGCTAAAGGAGAGACAAGTATCCGGACAAAAGGTATTAACACACCCGCCTTCTTACATAGTTGGGGAGAGAATACTGTGCGACAGATCGCATCATACTTGACGTGATAAAGTAAGACGCCTCACCACACCGAACTAGAAATGCTTCGATGGAATCGCAGTCTCAAATCAGATACAGTTGACAGAGTGCAGTTGACAAGAGTGCACTGTTGGTCAATGTGAACGACTTAGCGAACAATTTCATGTTAGCTAAGTTGCTTGTTGGTCGCACTGTCTCGGAAAGAACGGGATGCGAGAGATAGAGTGAAATTATGGGATTCAAGGAATCCACTGCAAATTCTAATCAAACGTAAAATAGTCAGAATTCGGAAACCTAACAGAACCGTACCTCTAAATGTTTGATAGCGGAACGCTGGAGGTAACCAGATCGGCTGGTTTTCACCGCGGTATCAACTAAGCCATCTCGGCCAGCCATAGAGTGGAAGAAGAGCTCTTGAGGCGGTAGGGACGTCAAAAAGCGATGGGTGCACATCCCACCTGCTCGGGGTCGTACATCATATGGTGGAAAAGACGGCAGACTGCGACCACTGAGCATTAAAGGCACGCGGCGACCCTCCAATTCAATTTGACCAAGAGCCACAGACATTTGTTGAGCGTTGACCTGGAACAGAGATATACAGAACGAACACGGATTATAAAGAATTGCACAAAATACGTGAGAGTTGAGCGGTTGAAAAAAGAAAAGCGGACCCTCTAAATATCCCTATTCATTCCAGCTTCCGTCCTTGTGTTGCAGTACTAGATGTCATGAAAGCTGACGGACGCAACTGCATTGAGCCTGTTCCGAAGCGCATTATTAAACTTCCCCGCAATTCGTGAATATACTTATGGTGGAAGTAATAATAATACTCACTTAGTTGGCGCTTAGCTGCCATCTCACTTGATGTAAGCATGAGAGCTGAGACTTTGCCAGGTCTTCCAAGCTTAGACAGGAGTGCTCGAGATGCCAGAATTGGGTTCGAACTGCGAACCCAACCCTGCGGTCAGTGATTCCACCCAAAAGACACTGAGGTATTTCGAGTAAGCAAGGACCCACAGTCTGTGTACTTCGCATTTGGTCTATTTTGTTGCAGACGATGACAATAAAGCTAAAAAAATTCACGTATGACGGTCGGATAGTACGAACACCTACTGGGAAATATGATGGGAACAGTAGAAGGGAGATTGGTTGGGAATAGTGAAGGAAAAGAGTTAGACTTCCGTGTAACTTCGAATCGAGGAACCCGGAAGGATGGATATCTTGTAGCGCTCTCCAGACTGTAATTTCATTGGAAAAGGCTCCCATGGAAGTCGATCACTGCCAATGAGCTAACGGAGGAGCACTGGTCGAAACACTTTTGTGGGTCAGTTTGGACTGAAATGCGCACTGATCACAGACCATCAGCCGTAGTGAGTTCGAAAACGTGCCGTCTACATGGACGAAACTAACCGTAGGATATCAACGCAAAAAAATAACGTTCAGCTGTAGCACCCTTTCGGTGCCTAACTGCCATGCCACCAAGAAGCACGAGGGCTGGGATACTACAAGGTTGCCAAACCTAGACAGGAAAAATCGGGAGGCAGAGACCGGCTCGAACCACGGACCTGCCGGTCAGCGAATTCGCACTCCAACCACTGATTCATCTCGCCCTGCGGGATATCATACAGTTTCTTTCCACCCAAGTACATCCATTTTTAACTTGCAGCTACACACAAACATTACCTCAATCAAAGTACTCATGGGTATTGCCCATGTGACAGGATTAAATAATGTTCCACTTTCTCTCTCAGTTCTCAACAGTTTGACACGTGTTTTTGTGCTGTCACAAAGCCATATTGAAGATAAGCCAATCCATAGTGTAGTACTATCTCACGCAGATTGAGAGACTTGATAGTGAACTTGCAAGTCAGAAGGGCTGGATCGAATAAAAGATATGCAACATGAGTGGGTACATCTGAGTAGATTGTTTGCGTTGCAAACCAAGTATTGTAAGAATGAGAGTATAGGCTGTCGAATATGAATTCTCGCTGTGCAGTCATTTTTGCTCCAGCCCATATGACCAATGATCGGGATAAAGTTTCCACGAAATTCACATGGATGTGATCGCTGACTTCAGATCAGGCATTCACAGAACGTGAACAGTCTCGAATAAAAGACCGGTAGTAATCAAGTGGATAACGTTCGTGAATGGAGTACAAATGAAGAGTGACAGCTACGTTCAGGTGAGACCTACTATCAGGCTTACAGTGGTAACCAGTCATTACGAAAGGGAGACAGTTCACATCAAGCAACTTGCAGTTCGTGACGATCCCAAACGTTGCTGAAAGAGCATGAAAATGGGACAACCAACGTCTAAAAGAGGAATGATTCAAAAAAAGGAAGATTACAAGAAAAACGAAAGAATACTAGTAACGGAAGATTATGACAGTAAAAAAAACAAACCACATCGTACCATGCCACCTTTGGCACCGACATGCACCATTAACTGCAAATTGTTCTCAGGGAAACCGACGTACAGACCCGAGGGGATGGCTGAGCTAGGAAAAAGGAACGTGAAAGCAGAGTAAAAGTAGAAAGGGATGTGATAATACCTTCAAGCTACATAAGGGCCCAGAAAAAAAGAAGAATGAATATTCGGAAATTCAAACAGCTACTACACAGGCGAAATCACTAGAATGAACTTCCTGTTAGCATGTTAGTAATATGTTCGGTGGATAATAACACCACGTTAGCTTCTGGCAGAGATGACAAAACCATCATGGGAATGAATCTAAATAGATAAAACAGATGTTCAACAGTTACGTAATTACTTTCCTCATCAATCGTCCTTGCACAGAGTTGATGTTCCTTACAACCATAGCTTAGTTTTTTGGTCTCCAGTCACACGGAGACCTTAAAAGTTGAGCCCAAAGAAGTCACACATTCTTAAATCGCGAGTAACTAAACAACGGTCGATCCAACCAAGTGGTAACGAAGGCGAAAAGAGGATTACTCAAAGTCAGACACAATGAAGAGTGCCAGATGTATGTAGTATGTAGATTTGTATATGCAGCCGACTTGCAGTTTTTTAAAAGGCGGAGTCTACATTTTAGAATAAAGCAGCCTTTGTGAAAAATTCTATTGGGCACCTGTAGAACACTACGAATCCATTATCACGTGCGTCAAGACACCACCTCTTATTGTGAAAACGGGATTATTTTCCAGGTCAGCTGTCTGCTGTGACTGATCAAACAGGCAAACAAGTTCGTTTATAATTTGAACGGAATTCCCACCCATATAGCAATCATGTTTGATGCTTCTGTTGTGCACCATTTTGACCCGTTAAATATCTTATTCATAAAGTATGTTGTATGTTTCTCCGGAACTTGCTGCTCACAGAAGCAGCCAACTACGGTGTAGGCGTATTCGTCCAACTCTTCCCTACTTCCCTCATTCGTTGATTGGCAGTATCAAACCAGGCAGTCAGTGAAGCATCAGTGCCAACACTGATTTTGCTGTCTTTGGTGATGATGATGACGATTGCACAGCTTAAGATGGAAATAGGGAAATAGGTAGAAATAGCTTTTTGTTCTTCCTTGGGGTGACCTTATTTCGGAGAGAGTTTAAAACCATGGTTGACAGGGTATTTCATCGTTAAGAGGTAGCCCTTCTCTAAGAAGTCTCTCTTTACGGAATGGTCGTGACTGTCGACTCATCCGTTCACATAGTTCAGCCCATGCTTCCTTCAAACCTACACGTTGCTCCGTGCAGTATAGAGATTAAGCCATTCTCACTTGCCCATACTATTCCATCAAGTACATTAGCCTATTCTAAATGAGGTATTGCAGAGGAATCAACCCAGGACCTGCAGCATTGGGGCTCGATAAAATGATAACTAAACGTACTAAGAATCCTTGACTTGAACAGCGTCCCAAAGTGGTATAATTAGCTCATGTCGGTCACCGTGACGGAATAAACTGTAAAGACTCTTCCAAAAAAAGATCACTCTCCTGGATGGTTCAAAGGTGTTACTTATTGTAGGAAATTAGAGTGGGAACCCTTTGAAGGAGTGCTACCTTTGCGCGCGGCCAGTGGTTGTCCCAGAAAGATTGCTGTGTAGATGGCTCTCTGGGCAAAGGTTTTGGAAATGCATGTAACCAATCAAAGAGAGATTGCTGTTCTAAGAGAAAGAGCAAACTTTGCGTAGGTATTTTTGGCCTCTAGAAAGTTCAGCGGAATACCTAACAATCAATTGGTGTCACTTACTCGCAAACAGCGTCTTGTGCACGCTTTAATCGATTCTTCATAGCATTATCCAGTTGCAGTATCCGCTTGCTCAACACCTGATCGGTACTCGGAGCAAACTGTGCTTGGCGATATAGTCGACGGACTTCGTGTTCGGTCAAACTGTTTGGATCCAATTCAAACGCATCGGCGAATGCACAAAGTCCCAAATCACGCAATTGGACAAACCTGCGTGAACGCTCTTCATTCGCATCATCGGACAGCAGCATATCTTTGATTCCCATTGTAAAAGCGGTGAATTTAAGCAGACGATTGGCTAATAGACTGATCCCGTTGAGTAGGTGTGCTGCAGTTTTGGGCCCGTGTAGTTCATGCACACAATGAATGAGGCCACCACTGGAAGAGCCGATATGAGCTTTGTCCAACATTCCAGACACCAAATAGCCATCACAAACCACAACGTCCACATCGGATAAGGGCGTAGCTTGTCCGGGGGCGACTCCAGACCACAGTTCGGCTTTGGTACGACGACCACGTAGAGTGCAGTTGATGTATGGAAGATCTGGCGGAGTTAAGTTAATTAGAAGAGTAGAAACGACCTGAAATGGACAAAAAATATGGCACTGAAGTGTATTTACTCGTTCACAACGGGATAATTATGGCTAAATACTCATAGTTCGTCAAATATGTATGCATTATTGTCTAAAGACGACAAACATGACTGTCGACCACACTCCTGTGGGCCACTTACCAGAGCCAACCTAGCCAACCAAGACGCAAATTAACCCACCCGCCCCTTCCCCAAATGTGCCAAAATGCACACTAAGTACCCCCATGTTCCACCCTTCCCCTCAATCAGCCGTTTAGTTTCTTGTCACTCTAATGCTTTAAATGCGAGTCGATAAACCTCGTGTTTTTGCGGTACCAAAACATCTGTGGAAACACTGACGTTGCTGTCTCTGACAATATCCTATCCGTAAACCTGGGTTTGCTTAAAAAGGGCAAACAAGTAAGACTGGATTTTTTGAAGGCCACAATGATCAGCCTTAAGTGCCGAATAGGGGTCCAGAGTAACTTATACTGTCCACGGAAGTCAAACCTACGTTCAGTATAAAATATTGAGTAGGTACATCTAACAGTGTCTCCTCAATCCCCCAGAAAACTGACGATCGGCTAAAATGAAGTTGTGTAAGTGAATTGGAACCATTCAGGAGATCAGTTTTAGACTCAAAAATAGCTCATCCATCTAGCTCACCGATTGTTCACCTGTACCGCGATAATCAAATCCTTCGGAAACTCTAAGTTTATGTCTCCATAAGCAGTTGTTCGAATCCAAAAGACAGGACGAATAGACACATTGGTTCACTGAGTGTTCTACTAGATTTAGGTCAGCAGCAAAAAGAATGAAAACGGTTGGAATGAGGTGTTGTAGAAGACAAAGGCTGAAGGAACCTGGGCACATTGAAATGCAGTCCGTCCACAAAAGTAAACACAGAGGAAGACTGGGAAGTTGCCACCGGAGCCATGAACTTACTTGCTTCCCAGTCCACAACCGCTTCGGCCACATGACTGCCGGTGGGAGGGTAACCAATGTGGGGGGTCCAGAGCAAGTGTACTTCGCCGCATCAAACACCGAACGCAATGCATGATACACCAAATCTAAATAGTCGGATTGATCGAAAAAACGGTCACGCATGGTGAGCTTGACTGCGGCAATCACGTGGTCTTGAATAAGCCCAGCTAACGGAGCGCCATCCTTCGGGCCCAAATAATGAGAAGGTACAGAGGCTGGAATGGTCAAGGATTAAATGACAACAAGGACACGTGGTGAAACGAACGACTGGTGAGTACAAGGACAACTGAGTGGGTTGTTAACAGCGAGAGTCCTAAATTAAATTGTTATTAAACAAAGGGAGAGGAGAGACTCAACGTCGGGAAAAAACGGATCTATAGCCCAGTCAATAAGAGACAGACTGGTTCCAATGAATGTATGCGTAAACTAACGCTGACAAGGGTTGAGAATAATATCGGACAATTGATAGTCATGTAGACCAACCGTCTTTGCAAAGGGATGACAACAGGGTAACAGGCTACAAAATGGTAATGTGTTGCAATATTGGTAGCTCAGGTGCATTAATCGGTAACTAATCAGGTGGAAGTTGATCTGTTCAACGAGCTTGGTAATTGGTTTGTAAACGTCTCGTCACCATTGGAAGAGACATCTTCAGTGCGCCGTTGGATGGGTAGCCTCTCTCTTCATGCTTGCGTTTATATAGTTTACAAAGAGCAGCTTTGAGCTGCTCTAATTGGTCATTGATTCTGGTTGGTCCGAACATAGCCTGTGTTGCGTTGTGGTTTTCATCTTTTATCTGTTCGCCGAGCTTGGCAATTGATTTGCAGACGTTTCGTCACCACTCGGGGAGACGTCTTCAGTGCGCTGTTGGCTGGGTAGGCTCCCTCTTCGTGCTTGCGTTTATATAGTTTACAAAGAGCAGCTTTGAGCTGCTCTAATTGGTCATTGATTCTGGTTGGTCCGAACATAGCCTGTGTTGCGTTGTGGTTTTCATCTTTTGCTTTCTGTGGCCACAGTGCTGTTGAAATTGTCTCCGTTATTCTCTCTTCCGGTTGGTCCGTCTGTGATCTGTATTGCATCATGATCGACATCTTTGTTGTTTGATTGGTTGGTGGCGTACCTTCTATTTCTAGTAGTCTGCTGATTGCTCCATGCCCAACTGGCGGTTTGTATTCATAAGCTTGGTCGGTTGGTTTACAAGTCTTCTCCCAGTGGGGCTCCCGTTATTTTGGGCCCGTTTGGTCGTCGGATTCGGTGGGCCTTGATGAGAGCTGAAAATTTCGCTCCAATTAATTTGTCATTCTAACCCGAATGTCCTTTTGTTTCATTACTATCGGTTTCTTCTTTGAATCCTTGTTCGGCTCAGGGTTTTGTGGTTTTGGATTTCCTTTGTCCTCAGAGGTTGATAGACAGGACCGATTTCAATACGTCTGTTTATTGCTCCGTCAGTGGAGTACCACGTCTCCATGAACTCACGTTCTTTCTCTGTTCTTGCTTGGCCCAGTATGCTGAAGTTTTTCGAATCGAATTCCTGTCCTTCCCCGTCATCATGTGCAGAGATGAGTGAGAATTGGTCGTGTCTCCTAGTAGCGAGCTTGTGTTCGTTGGCTCTAGTTGACAGTTTCCTCGCTGTTTGTCCCACGTAATGTTTTTCACAATCCTTGCATGGAATTTTGTAGATTTCGTTTGTCTTCTCCATTGCATTAAGTATCCCCTTTGGTTTCGATAGTGCTCTTCGCAGTGTGCCAATTGGTCTGTGGGCAATTCTTATGGCATGCTGTCGCAGTACCTTTGAGGTCATCCCGGAGACACGACTCGTCTCTGCACACGCAACACAGACTATGGTCGGAACAACCTAAATCCGAGTGCGATGGTTATCAATGGCCACTTAGGTTACGGCTCGAAACTGCTCTTTGTAAACTATATAAACGCAAGCACGAAGATAGGGACTATCAACCCAACAGCGCATCGGAGATGACTCTTCCAATGGTGACGAAACGTTTGCAAATCAATTACCAAGCTCAGCGAACAGATCAACAGACACCTTAATTAAAAGAAATATGAATGACATTTTATCAGCTACAGCACCCTTCCGGTGCACAGCTGCTGTGTTACTCAAAGTAAGTAAGATGGATGAGATATTGCCAGGTTCCCTAAACCTAGGCAGTGACAAGGGAATGCCGTGATCGAACCGTCTGGCCAAAAGCTTCAAGCTTTGACCACTGAGCTATCTCGATTTGGTAACAGGGTTTCTGTGTACATGTGAGTAAAAGGCCACAAAGCCCCTATTCATCCGCAAGGCTATTTTACTGAACGAAAGGAAGAAGACCCATATGAGGGCTACAATCTGCAAAACAGACAACTTTACCTAAGGATTCCAGTTCTGCTAGTGCAGTGTAGCTCTGAACCAAATGACCGTTCATCTCGTCCCCATCGAAATCTGCATTATAGGCTCGGCAATTAGAGTAGTGCATACGAAGTGTTTTGGCAGCAGTGGAATGAATTATACGTACGCGATGGGCCTGCATCGATGGTTTATGCAGTGTCGGCTGACGGTTCATGACCAGCATGTCACCTTGCAGTACGTGCCGATTGACCTGTGGGACATAAAGCCAAAAGTTAGTCAGATTGTGGACAGTTGGACTGGAATATGAACACACAATGAAGGTTTGTGCGTAATAAGTACCATGAATTCAAGTTGTGCGAATTCAGCGCAGTCTCAAGCGTCCGGGCGACAGGAAATTCGTGCAACCTACGGTCATCCTATGCTGCAAAGCGATCAAACGGAAATCATTGATAGTGTACACCTCAGCGATCAATGAAGGGGAGACTGAATCCGAAAAATACTTTGAGGTAACTGAGCACTACAACATTGGTCGTTCGTCAGTGTGGATTCACTAACAGGGGCGCCACAGGAGTCTGTCGCTAAATTAATGCTGTTTTTTGGCAGTAGCATCAACGAAGTAATGTTAAGCCACTGATGACGATGGCCGTAAGCGTACAACGCTAACCATCAGCAACCGTATTGATGAAAGAAGTCTAACAACACAGACTGAACAAGAAGCAAAAAGGAACAACCTACTCGGAACGTAGACTACAGACCTTACGCATGGTCAACTGCTTGGCACTGGCACCAGAACACAAGCTTAGAGATGAAATCATGTAAGATAAAGGGACGATTCGCACAACAGCCCGCCGCAGAAAATATAAATGGCCAAATTTTCCACCATGCGTTGGCGAGAATCCGTGCATTATCCACCCGTCCCAAACTAATAGGTTCAGTAAGCTTCCCTCCAAGTATTACGCTAAGGATCAGTGAATCGAAGTGGAACCATGATAACTTACAACAAACGGGATTCCTGTTGACGTGGAAGACACTGGGATGAGGCAGCCAGCAAGAGTCTCGCGCCTACGTTTCGCCTGAGCCGTGTTCCCGCGAGGTAGGTGGATAAGTTGCCCTTCTGGGGTTTGTACGCTTCGTGCTCCCGGATAAATCTCCGGTCCGTTGGAAACGAGCTGGCGCATTTGGGCCAAGTTATGCATGTTCACGGGAGTGGGGAAAGTCAAGCGGGTGGCGAAAAACAGCGGCACGCCAACCTATCAATGAATAAAATGAACGTAAACATGCAGGATGGGAAAGCAAACACAAAGATCCCTTTGACCAAATACTTACTTCGGTTACATCAAGAATTGGATCGGGACTGATGACAGATCGACAAGCATAGTTGACTCGTTTGCCCATGATATGCATCCGAAAGAGACCTTCCTTTTTCTCCAGTCGCTGCCGCAGCCCGGGCAACCGGACGACCGATTTACCTAAGCCACCCACTTTGCTATCCAAGCCGGTTGGAATGGTGGCCGCATTCATGTCATAAAGTCCATTAACAGCAGCTTGTAAGAGGATACAGGCCAGTTTCAATGCACCCTCGATCCGCGTTGTATCGTCCAGATTAACCAGTGAGGCGTCTGGATCAGTGGATAGATCAGCTAACGACTGTTGAAACGCATTCTCCCTATCAGTCTGTTCTAACTGCGCCTGTTGTTGCCGCTGTTCGATGAAGTCAACGATATGTGATAAACACTGAGCGCGTCGAACCACACGTGAGTAGACAGCGGTTTCGGGATGTTCGAAAGCCAGACCACCAACATAACGGGGCTGAAAGTAAGAGTATAGCTATAAATCGATTACTGCGACTAATGCATGAAACGGACCTGTAAGCACGAATAAAGCAACAATGCCTCTTCTAGTATTGCTTCAGAGCCCTCTGAGTACTGGTAGTAACTCCATGGGGATGCCGAAATTGATGTGTTCTCAATGTGAGACCTGTTGATGATAATGTTTTCGGAATTTTTAATGGATGTTTCGTCCTGTAAGTGAAGCTAGTCTATCCTGAAAAGCCTGGAAGCACTATACAATTGTGCAATCCCTACTAAGAAGCATCAGTACTGTGCGCCTATCTAAGAGCAAGCTAGTCACATTGCTGACCAGCCGTTCGTGGCCACACAGTTGTGTTCAAACCACTAGCCAAGAGGTCGCAGCCTCGAGACTGCCTGGAGTTTCGTGAGATACACACAGTTGTGTAAGTCTATCATCGGGCCAACGGTATATTTAGTTGGAAGGGGAGCAGATCGAATAGTGTTGCCTTGGGAAATGAAAGATCGAACAGCTGACGTGAGCGTAGCCGGTTGTTGGAATCGTTATAATGTATGAAGAGGGGGCTTGGTGAAGCGTTGGGGCTTAGTGAAAGCGTAGAGTATTTATGGCCCTTGCAGGCAGTGCGGTAAGTAAAGCAATCAAAAAAATAAGTTCACTGAATCTTCATCGATTCAGCCGTCAAAGGGAAATTGAGAGGGAATGTATCAGTCGAGATTTCCAAAATTCGTTAGTGTAGTCCGAAAACAGCATGCGAAATGAACAGCTGGTGTCGAAGAAGACACCGATTAAAGCTACAGTGCCAGGTGTCAAACGCGAGCTCCTATAGGGGCACTATAACTCATCACATTTAATCCTATCTGTGTCAGATTCAAGGTGACCAGGGACATGACATTAATCTTTCTATAAAAAAACACTCTAGAAGTAAACCACAAGCAAACAGTAAAACTCACGAGTCGACAGATGGAAGGTGAAAGGAGAACGGCATCCATAAAGAAGACGTCTGTCGCGAACTCGTGCGAGATCGCTGCAGAATTTAGCATGGGAAACAACAAGCGAAGAAGACTGGCGTCGTTGGTCCACAGGCATCTGAGAAATAGACGAGCCGTTTCTGTAGAAGAAAGAAGACGTGGTCAAGCTCGAGCTACCGTACTCGCGCGTTTTTAAAACTGGAAGCATCCGAGCGGTTCTGTATCCCTTCACCACCCAACTATCTTTCCAACAACCACTCACATTTAGACAGTGATTCCAGTCAACCTCACCCCAATCTGTTTAATTCACACATCTAGCAAGGTCAATTTTCTGTTATTAGAACTCTGGGTGTCACTGAGTTCGGAGAAAAACTTAGCCACGCAATAGCTATTGCAAAGTAGTGAGGTTATAAAATAGACCACAAAGTGAGGAGAAGCGTTATCTGTTACAGAAGAGATGATTCTCAGTGTTCAGTTTGTGTTCCAAAACTCCCTTCAATGGAAGCGGAGAAATCACGGTTGCAGCTGAGCACAGTCCTGAAGTCCCAACAGCAGGGAGCTCCGACTATTGCAACAGCAGAGCGGAGAGCTTTGAACATTTTGGAGCAAATGTAAAATATTGTGGTTACGTGGGGCGGATGAGGGTAAGGTCGCTAGCTGATGGACCATACCAGTAGACAGAGTGATAACATGAATATGAGTAAAACTGAGGTGAGTGGGTATTCGATAAGCGTGATAAGCCATTTAGGGCAAGGTAAGTGGTATCGATTGTACCCTACAAGTGCAATCCAAATAAGGATTTTCGGTCTGCCAAAAGTGTATAATGTGAATGGGTCTGTAGTGGCTACCCTCCTGTCTAGTTAACCCTTGAACTAATTTTATTAGTACATCAACATAGACTGTCCCCACGGGGGCGAGATGGACCAAGTGGTTAGGGTGTGAACTTGCTGACCCGAACGTTCGTGGTTCGAACCCAACCTCTGCCTCTCGACTTCCCCTGTCTGGGCTTGGGCAAGCTGCCAGTATCCCAGCCCTCGCGCAACTTTCGGGTGGCATGGCAGTTAGGCATTGAAGGGGTGCTACAGCTGAACGATTTTTTTGTTTACCCCGCAACCACGAGCATCACCCACCATTTCATCTGCACCTACTTCTCTCCGCTAAGGGGAGAGTATTTGTAGAGGTTACTCATCAGATCACGCGTCACAAGCACTCAAACCACATGACTATTCCTGTCCAATTTGCAACCTTAGCCGACATCATGTACAGTGAACCTTCTCAACCATTTTCGTCTACGCGGCTACCACTTGCGTCACGCGCCAGGATTATGAACTTCATTCATCACATCAGGTCAAGTTGTATTCATGTTCGTGCAAGTATCCACACACTCCTCACTGCACGACGCACACAATAAATAGGCATACAACTAGGCTCAGCAGACACACTCACACACACAGGACGGCAAGTCAACAGAGCTCCGCGAGTCTTTGCGGGTAACTACGGAACACGTGTAGCAGCTATACTGCAGAGCAGACACGTCCCGCGTCCGGAGCTTCAATCAGGAACTCTCAACAAGTGTCCTCAAACGATAAGTCACTTTTTTGGCTTATTCCACTTTTCACATTGCATCTATTTTTATCAAGTGCACCTAACTATTGCATTCATCACATTCTAGTAAGACAGACATTTGTTAGTGCTTGTTACCTTCTGATAATCAACTTAATTACGTCACAACTAGAGCATTAACAGGTCCCTGAGACCGATACTAGACGGAATAGGTTCGCCATTTCACGAGTTGGTCAGCTTCACTGCAGATACGCTAAAACCCCTACCGGCTAGTCGAGCACTTATATTAAGAATTCGTAGATGCCAGAGAAGTCACCGGTTGCTCCACGGAACCACGTGACAACCCAGTATCAACTCGGTGACTTTTCAGAAGTAGCCGAGCAACTGCTATTGGCAGATGCCACACTCACAATGAACAAAGCTGACCGTAGATTAAATGGTGGAAGGCATGAAAGTATGCCTGAACTTTATTAACTTCATTCTCGATTCTATGGTTTACGCTCAAAAACAGAATCTAGCAATCTGATTCCCAATATCACCGGTCTTTAAAACACATACATATGGAAGATTTCGAACAGAAAGCTTTGGCCAAATGCATGTTTCCACCGAAAAAGATTTTGGCGACGGCACCCTTGTGGTGATTAAACGAGAAAAAGTCGACGAATCACACAAGTACCTTAATAGCCCGTACTCCCAAATCAAATTTAGTGAGATGCAACTAACTTCGGGTACCCTTCTTGGAATGTACAACACATACGGCTGGTGGGGAACTAAAAACCACCATGTACCAGAAGCCAGACGGCATTGATACGATTTTGAACTATGTTCCGGACCATGCTAATTCAGCATTCATTAATTAGCATTGGCTTGTCAATATTTAGCCAAGTACGGATTCTGTGCACACAAAAAGTTGATCGGACAGCAGATCACATTGGACTAAAATTAGACTTTGAGATCGTAGATATTCAGTTAGTGTGATTAAAAGTCGATTAAAGAGTATCGATACCTATCGCAAAACCCAATATGTAACGGATCGGGGCTGCTGCTATTCCATACAAACCGGGGGCATCTAGAGTTATTCGAAGGGTCCTACACACAACTAACATAAGAGTAGCGTTCCAAATCAGGAACATTCGGCAAACTGCACTGGTGAAGCCAAAGGTTAGTGAATATAAACTCTTGCAAACTAATTTGGTTTTTCGAGAGACTCACCTGGAACCCAGCTGAACCTCTCGTTTGTGATGTTTTCAGGCAACTGAATGTGCTGCACCAGGCCGCCTCATGTTTCAGTCCCTGCGATATTCGACATATCGCGACACATGTGTATATTTGTGATGTACTACTCATAAGGCTGTCGACGGCTTTTCAGCAACCTTATGAGTAGTACATCACATACATAAAACCAGAGGTTGTTTACAAAATCAAATGTGATGACTGCACTAATGTTCACTTAGGACAGATATTTAGGGGATTTCACCTTATAATCGGTGAGTAAAACAGCGGCTACCGAAAAACGCAGGTAAATATCCGATGCTAATCAAAGACTCAGTAATAGCGGTACAAAACACTCAGGAAGTGTTCAAGTTTTGACGCAGCGACTCTCGACTCATACCGAGGTGGTAGAAATTGACGATCACCCGTTGTAAATAGAGCAAGTAAAGTGTGGAATTGGTGAGCATGTGGAGATCGGCTTTAGATCAGCCGAGTTGATAGTGTGCAATTATGAGTGAAGAGGGTTCACATGCAGCCGTATCATAGTTCATAACCCAAGCCGAACAAATGTCCATGTGATACCACCACCCCCTAACCAAATGGTTGCAGCATCCACGAAACCACAAAGACCAGAATATTCGTAAACGACACCAAGTAGAATCATTAATTGAAGTGTCGTGAACCGGAAGCTAAGGAACCGAACTCGATAGAAGATGACTTTGAATCCCCCCAACCCGTCGATCCTAAGAAATGAACACTCGCACAAACCTACAAGGACTTCTAACCGACATTCAGGCCAAGTGTGGTCATCGAGAGAGAGGGAGAGAGATCTTGGTGACTGGTTCTTTGTCCGTCTAAGAATTAGACCAACCTAAAAAAAACTACACGCTTGACCTGACAAAGCTTCTGTGTCAAAATCAGAACTTTTCCCAGCGATAAACCAATCAATTATTTGCCGAACCTTTCTAAAACCTGTCAGTCATATTTCACCGTATTACTACCCCTCATATCATGACAGCAACAAGCGTGGATTTGGTGACCTATAGAAATGTTTCCTAAAGCCAAAGAATCCAATAATCTGGCGAAAACTGAGCTCGCCATTGCAAACCCTGTCCCATTTTATTGTTTAGACAGCTTGGAACTCACTTGGTCTGTGGTATTTGGGACTTTAGGTAATACCATGATATTCACAAAGCGCGCTGAAGCATCGTTCAAGCTGACGCCAACGATCCATTGACATAGGTGACTTAGTACTCCACCTACGGTACACTAATATTTGAATCCATGACTGTAGTGGAAGGGAAAAGTCTCACGTGTTAGAGTGGTGTGCATACCGTCAGATGTTATTGCTCATGGTGCAAATACAGTCCCCCGAAAACTTCCGCTGCAAGTGGTAAGAGTCACTCGGGCTAAAGTTCTGAAACTGGCTCCCAATTCCACCAAGTAAACTGCCACACCACTGCTTTGTCGTTGTGGTTCAACTACAACACCCTTTCGGTGCCTAGCTGCCATGCCACCCGAAAGAAGCACGAGGGCTGGGATACTGTCAGGTTGCTCAAGCCTAGGCAGGAGCAGCTAAGATGCGAATGTTGGATTCGAATCACGGACCCTTCGCTCAGTAAATTCGCGCTTTAACCGCTGAGCCTTGTCAGTAGCAGTAAGATTGGCCCAAACGTCCAACTAGATTTGCAGGTGCGTGAAGCAGTTGAAACATGGAGACGCCCAGTCAATTGAGGCTACGCGAGACGCACTGGATACAGAAGTGAGCCGGCTGCACCAACAGGAGAAAATCACGTGAGTGAACATAAACGCCTAAGCCTAGGGAGCCGGTGAAACAGTAGTACGTGGAGGACGGCACGTAGAGGCGAGATGGTCCAAGTGGTTAGAGCGCGAATTTACTGACCGAACGGTCCGTGGTTTTAACCCGACTTCTGCCTCCCGACTTCCCCTGTCTAGGCTTGGACTACCTGGCAGTATCCCAGCCCTCGTGCTTCCTTCGGGTGGCATGGCAGCTAGGTATCGGAGGGTGCTACAGCTGAACGAGGGTTTAGTCCTCAGTCAGCGCTTTTTTGAGGCATGACAGCTAGGCACCGAAAGGGTGCTGAAAGCTGAACGGCAGCGGTGGTAGCAGAGGACGACACGTCATTGATAGTACTTAGTCAGACAGTCATTGAATTCGATCTCACGTTTTTCTGTACCGCTCTGACTGAGAGTACACCACGACCTGAATTTGTTGTATTTCGTTGCACTGGGAATTATCACCGCTTCCATGAACCAACTGGCAATCCAAACGTAGATATAACGATGTTTACCACAACGTTATTGGTAGGAATTGTGAGATGTTTCTGACAAAGATGTACCAAAGCGATTATCCATTGGACCAGCGCATAAATGTGTCCCCAGCCCCAGAGCTACGTCCACAGCTACATATTTACATACCATGGCCCTTACGATCCCCGAAACGACAGAAGAATCTCACATGTGGAGCTAAGTCAGACGAAGTGGTCCGATTCGACTCGAACATATCTTTCAGCCTGCAAATGAAATTAATACATTCCAAAATGTCAGGAAGCCAGCGACGTAATGCTGGAATTTTGGGCTTTCAAAATCTTTTCCAGGAGGTTGCGCGTTTGAATCTCCTTTGAGGTCTTGTGAGGTGCACATTGTTGACGATGTTCTCCAACAAGAACGGAACAGTTGTACAGTGCTTCTCTGCCTGTCAGATCGGAACACGAAGGCACCGTTGCGGTGCACAGAATCTGTGCAACACATAGAGAGCATAATGGCAGAGATAATGTTGGATTCCCTCAGCCTAAGAGGGGCTACCGATTCAGCGTTTGCTGTCGGGAGCTTGTACCTTAATCGACTCAGGCTAGCCCGTCATTTGTTTTTTTTCTACTCAAGGTCATTTCGTACCAACCCAGTAGTTAGGTGACAAGGAAAAGAAGATTATGAGACCAGATCAAGACTAAGAACAATAAGGAATAAAAGTTAAAAGTCAACACACCTGGTAACAAGCATGTTTCCTTTGAATTCACGGAACTTTTTGACATTTCATTCAATTGCTTTCGAGCCTCCTCTAAAAGTTGCTCCTGAGACGGGTTCACATCGGAACAAGTTTTCCGCTCCATCGGCTCTACAAAAAAAGATCGATCTTCACCATCCGCCAGAGCAGCAAGGGTAGGAGCCAACCGTGGATCCTGCACAGCAGCTGACGCTAGGAAATCTTCAATCGATTCCTCTTCTTCACTGGAATCACGAGACAAGCCAACAAGATGAGCAGGGAGTTAGCAGAAGGGCAATGGAAGCGAATTCACACATTAAAGTTAAAGGGGGCAGATGGGAATCTATATAAAAATAAGGTAATATTCACAAACTGGGGGCAACAAATTCACAAACTAGAGAACGTTAATAAATAAGCGCCCGAGATAGACAAGAGACTAAGATATAAATGTCCTCCTCTTATTGTATACCAACAACACTTTCCCATCACACACGAAAACAAAAAATTAAACTTTCATTCAGTCATTCATTGAAGGTGTACAGACTGAAAATCAGAAAGGTCAGAGGGCACCGAAGTAGAATAAGGCGACGAGTGAGAAAACAAACGAGGCCACGGGTGAGCTATCAACGTTGGATTAGAAGATGCGGTACCAGAAACCCGAATTCTGTGGTAAGCAGGGAAAGATTAGTGGAGAATCCTCTGTATGCACTCTACCCTGAACTTCAGATGAGGATAAATAATGCCGAGCACCATCAGCAGCAGAATGATTGGAGCTTTTCGCCATGAACGGCTTAGTTGGATGCAGGAATCAGAGAGAATTATACTCACTTCATTTTCATCTCAGACGCAGTTGATCTACTACGCGCGTTCTCCGACACCGGGCGCATCACTAGCTGTTGTTTGTTAATATGTCGTAAGACCCATGAACGCGTACAGCACAGTTTGCACGGGACACGCGGTCTGGATGACAAAGAGCGAAGGGCAATCTTCGTTAGTTCGGTCTCGGACAGGCCTTCGAGCTCGGCTAACTCAGTTTGCTTCGGTTTACCAGGGAGAGTAGAGGCTGGATTCCGAGAAGATGGATAAAAAGTAATTTCAAGCCTACCTGCAGCACCCAAGTGGTGCAATGCGGCTGCCAGGTAATCTACACTATATATACGAAAACACCCAAAGCAGAAGGCTTTCATGAGCTGGCAAAGACAGTAAGGGGTAAGCAACACTAACCTTGAACAGCAGGTCAAAAAACAGTGGGTTGAACACTGGCTTTGAAAATTCAATATGCCCAAAATGTCCCGGGCATGCGAAAAAGTCTAGTCCACAGTGCCCGCACAAGTCCTTTTCACTATGGACACCTAGAAAATGGATGCAAGAATTACGGGAATGGTGCTGTACCCATGGATGCATCGTGTAGGCCCCCATCAACTCCACGACCCGTAAATTTGTCGAACGCTAATTCATTAGTCACCTGTCGAACCGATAGCAGCCTGATATCATCGCGGTTGTAAAATCGGAATCCTAGGCGCTCAAACTGCCCGTCTGTCGATGAGAACATCAATCAAGTGAATTAACGGAATTAACAGTTCGTTCCAGAGTGAAGAGCTATCCGAGCTGTAATAAACTAAAAAAGTACCAAATTAGGGAAAACAAGAAACAGTCTGATGATGAGTTCGTGCGTTTGGTTGCAAAATTAGCTTATTGGTGGATACTCGGGAGGCTGTGCCTACCTGATGAGCTTCAAAAAGAGCTGTCGAAGAGTTTTCAGCAACCTTCCGAGTATATATAAAAAGTATCTATAAAGTATCTATCTGTAAAAAAAGAGTATCTATGAAAAGTCATCTCACGTTGAGAAATATCTGCAAGACTGTGACCCGATCTCATAATTTTATCATGTGTATGAAAGCAGTCAGAGTATAGACATGGAGAAGATATCTGTTGATATTGTCCCAGCTTCAAAGATACCTCGGGACCACACGGCTGATATCCACTGTTAGGCTTCCCACGCTCCACCTTCAGGTCGCACGTTGTTCATTTTGCACCTTCTTCTGATCACGATAGCCTTCAGCAAACACAGTAGGATGAAGCAGTCGATCAGCTGACAAAGGAACAACGAAACCAAGTATGCGTATCTGGCTTCGCCATGTCACACAATAGGGTGAGTGGGTGCTCGAATTGTTACAGAAAATTAATAATCGCACTCGGGCAATATTAACCCGGTGTTTTCACGATAAACGCACAATGCTTCGAAGGCAGCAATGGCTAAAGGAAATCAATTGTCTCTTGCCTTCAATGTATATCAGCAAGGCTTCAAAACCATTAAAGCAGTATTGTACACGTTGTAGACCTTGCACTATCATACTAATGTCACAGCGTCACCAAAAGTGCTTGCACTAAATAAAAGCTGAGTGGCTCCTGGAGCTCCTAGCAATCACTTCGCTATTAATGTCATCCAAAGGAGCACATTTGACAAGATGGGTAAATTTGTCAACCAGTTCAAGCACTTTAGATGCCGTGACCAAACCATTCAGCGTCAGCCTGTATTTCCAAAGTGAAAGACTAATAATGAGGCATGGCAATACGAACGATGGGGTAGAGAAAGAGCAGTTGTAGTGGACCCTCATGTATCTCGTATCGGTCAAAATGACGCGGATAATATTCGTGACAACGATAGAAGCTCAGCTGTAGCAAGTTTTCGGTGCAAATCTAGCGTGTAACTCGAAGGAAGCACGAGAGCTGAGGTACTGCAAAGCTGCCTGTCATGACTGTGTAAACCATACCTTTGCATAGACCATTAACTCATAAATATCACTCTATATTTTTAGCTCATGTACTACCGTTATTAGACGACTTCTATTCCGTCTCCCTTCTTATCTCGTCCTCGAACTACTCGACTCTCGGAACACTGCCCAAGCCTGGACAAGAGCAATGGGAAATCCAAGGTTGGATTCGAAACGCGGACATTCCGCGCAGTAGTCTCTGCGCGCCACAGACTGATAGCAGTTTGCACGTCAAAGTAAAGTAAAACAAATAAAATAGGACCGTCGCGCAAAACTTCAGCTGGTTACTTTCTACCTCCCACCTGAGCGACCAGCACGCAGTGAAAACGTGGGCTCTGAATTGGGATCATACACTTCCGCCTCAAAAGTGTACCAGTATGCGTCCATACACATGCACCAGCCCGGCGACCTTACACCTGCTGTTCAAGGGTATTGGTGAATTTCTCGGCTAACACCCCTCTAACCGATGCCAACATATATGGGAGAGGTTGATCCGAACAACTAAGGTGAGTTGGGCATCACTGTGGTGTTTTGCAAATCGATGTTACATTTTCCCCAATTTAGTGAGTCTGTTCCATTCACTTGTCCACTTCTTATTGCCATTTGTTATTTTTAATCTGATATTTTGATTGAACACGCATACTTAGGTCC